ACACACACACACACCCAGACCGCCCCGAGGGAAGAAGGGCGTGCGAGTACCAGGCGTCACGGAGAGCACGAGGGACCGGCGCCTCTCACATCCACCCGGTGGTACATGGGTGGCTGCAACTCCCACAGCAAGCAACAAAAAGGAGATGTCCCCTTGGACCCACACCAACGGGTTCCGCTCGCCGCTGCGGCTTCGGCTTCTCTGGCAGCAGCGGCAGCGGCGGCAGCAGGGAGCACCCCGTCTACTGCAGGGGCAACACCAGAAGGGTCAGCGGCGTCCAACTCGTCCCATGATGGCAAAGCGAATGGCTCGTTCTCACCGCCGCAGCGGCGCCCTGCGTTCACCATCTACATGGAGGTAGAGGATATCGATGTGGACAGCGGCGGATTCACTGCGAATGTACCCACAGACGGTAGTATGTATGCATTGACGCCCGTCGTTCCTGTAGCGCCCTTCGTCGCTCGGGATTCACGTAGGTTGGCCGCCAGCATCTTCCAGGAGCGCTACGGCAAGCCGGATGACAGTGACGACGACGGTGCTGGAAAGGCGGACGCTAAGAAGCCGGACAGTGGTGGGGGAGGCAACGGCAATGGAGTGACGAGCGTTGACGCTACCGCCCCGACATCAACAACAACGGCGGTGGCGAGGGTTGCGGAGAAGGAGATTGTTTCGAAACCACCGGAAGCGCACTCGGAACCGTCCACGTCGACAATTGAGTGCCAGTCACCCGACTTCACGATGAGTACGACCTTGCGGCCCCAAACGGCACGCCCGCAACCGTATAGTGATAAGCCACACGGCGGGTGTGACGAGGAAGGGCAGAAGCAGGAGGAGGAGGAGGAAGAGGAGGAGAAGGAGGAGGAGGAAGAGAATGGTAACGTAGAGGACTTCACCAAGACTTCTAAAGCGGTGAGGAGAGGGTTCTTCGGGTTCCGTCTCACCGATTCGAAGAAAGGATCCAGCAGCAAGGAAGCGAATGCGTCCAAGAAGAAGAATAGAGAAAAGAAGAAGAAGAAGGAGAAGGAGAAGGAGAAGGAGAAGGAG